ATCCCTCTGAATCTTGCCTATGTTACAGGGTCTAACAAAAAGACAAAATACCTTCCTTTTTTTTTTTTTCAAAAGGCAATTACCGACAAAGGAAGACACAAAAACAATATTTTTATTTGTGAACAACAAACGCTTATGGCAATTTTTCATTTCTTGGCTTGAAAAATTGTCTGTTAAATGGCATCTATTGTTGACACGTTGATATGGCCTTTATTGCAAGTTGTCCATAGTTCGTCATTTCTGGTGGATGGGTAGCCTTTGCCCAGGAGATTGTGGGTTGTTTTTACACTAGCATCTTTCAAGTGTTCCCAAAGAAAAAATTAAAAGATGATAATTTGGGTGACCTTGGTGGTCAGGTAATATCTCCTTGCAAAGAGAGATGATATCCAGAAAACAACACTCTTAAAATTGCTAGAAAACGTGAAGTGTGATTTGAGGCTTCATTGTGTTGGAACCTGACTTCTCCCAATGAAGAACAATGGACATCTTCGAATGCCATTACTGGATATAATTTTTAAAACAAGTAATGCAAAATAGCATAATCCCTTTTGTTCACAAATAAAGTATTTTTTTCTGTATACTTGTAACTGACTTTTGAAATGCATGCCTGTTTGGAGGAGTATGTAGTTTACATTAATAGTAAAGTATGAAATTGGAATGAAAATAATAGATGTAATTGAAAATATTGTGGGGAGCCCCACTTTCTGACAGCTACATACAAATGTGAATGCGGAGGATTGTTTGCACTGTAGGATGCAGTTGAAGGATCAATTAGAATAGAGATATATTGTAGGATATTTTAGTTGCTTATTCTCTAGGCAGTATCTCTCAGAAAATGCAATATTTTATCTATAAAATAAAAATTATATCAACTGGCTATTGAATTTGTCAACATCTTAATTCAATTTTTTGGCTTTATATTTTTGCCCAGAATAGCTGGTTGTTCAGAGATCAGAACACTAATCTACTGTCAAAAAGAGCCAGAGTTCAGATCTTGGGAGGGTCTTTTCATACTCTAATTTTCTACAAAAGCTTGTAAGATGCACTCAGCCTGCTGATGGGTTTACTGTGCCATTCCCAGAAGTTAAAATGACAGGAACATGATGCTGTCCACGTTTTCTTCCATCTAAGACTGAGGTCTCGGTATTGTGAAGACTTGCCTCCTCAAATCACCTTCAGCATAATTTATGGTCAAATGTGAGATGGTTGAAATTGGTTTTAACATCCATTTGATGTTTTAGAGGAGACCTTCACCCACCTTCAGTTTTGTTTGTAGCAAAATGACTTCCGAATTGAAGCCAAATGTTCAATTTATGTTCCATTGGATTCAGTTGATTGTATGTTCTCTTTACAGTCAGAAAGAACGAATGAAACTGGCTGGATGTGTATGGGAATCTTGTGAAGCAATAGAGCATCTTCCTCGTGATAACTTGGCTGCAACATGTGCAGAACTTGATAAGGAACTGATGCTGGTAGAAGATGCCCTTCAGGAAATGGAAGAAGTATGTGTTTATGTTTTTAAAACTTTTCATGAAAATTAAAAGGTCATTATTTGTCTTAGATCCAGGAAACAAATTGCCAGAAATGTATTTTGTTTCTAAAATGTATGGTGGTTGTATATTCCACTTAGGTAGTAGGGCACCAATGGAGGTCACTGCATTGCCTCTGACCATGAGAACCCAGCGTTAAAGTGGTTCCTGATGGTAGTAGAAATTTCACCCCTAGAACAAATTCTGTCACTGTCTAGAGTAGAATTTTAGTCTGCCCCCTGTTATCAGTAGTTTCCCATGTTTCTCTGATCAATAATAGAATACCAGGGCAGAACCCTAACAAATAAGCCACATACTGCATGATAACTTTTGTTTCCTTCCTTGTCCTATCCCCACTTCCACACATGCGATCTCTGGCACCCGCTCTCATTCTGTCCCACTTTCGCTCTCTTCCTTTCTGTATCTATCACGCGCCCACTCTCCGTTTCGCTCTCTCTCTGCTTTCGCGTTCTCTCTCTGCTTTCGCGTTCTCTCTCTCTGACCGTCTCGGGCTCTCTGACCGTCTCGGGCTCTCTGACCGATCTCGTGGACTCTCGGACCGATCTCGGGCTCTCTGACCGTCTCGGGCTCTCTGACCAGTCTCGGGCTCTCTGACCGTCTCGGGCTTCTGACCGTCTCGGGCTCTCTGACCCGTCTCGGGCTCTCTGACCGTCTCGGGCTCTCTGACCGTCTTCGCTGGCTCTTCTGACCGTCTCGGGCTCTCTGAGCCGTCTCGGGGCTCTCTGACCCGTCTTCGGGCTCTCTGACCGTCCTCGGGCTCTCTGACCAGTTCTCGGGCTCTCTGACCGTCTCGGGCTCTCTGACGTCGTCTCTCTCTGACCGTCTCTCTCTGACCGTCTCTCTCTGACCGTCTCTCTCTGACCGTCTCTCTCTGACCGTCTCTCTCTGCCCCTTGTCTGACCGCCTCTCTCTGACCGCCTCTCTCTGAACCGACCTCTGACCTCTCTGACCGCTCTCTCTGACGCCTCTCTCTGACGCCTCTCTCTGACGCCTCTCTCTGACCGCCTCTCTCGTGACCGCCTCTCTCTGACCGCTCTTCTCTGACCGACCTCTCTCTTGACCGCCTCTCTCTGACCGCCTCTCTCTGACCGCCTCTCTCTGACCGCCTCTCTCTGACCGCCTTCTCCTGACCGCCTCTCTGGTCTGACGCCTCTCTCTGAACGCGCCTCTCTTCTGACCGCCTCTCTCTGACCGCTCTCTCTGACGCCTCTCTCTGACCGCCTCTCTCTGACCGCCTCTCTCTGACCGCCTCTCTCTGACCGCCTTCTCTACCGCTCCTCTGACCGCCTCTCTCTGACCGTCTCTCTTTTCTCTCTTCTGTCCGTTCTCTTCTTTCTCTCTCTCTCTGTCGTCTCTCTTTCTCTCTCTCTTGTCCGTCTCTTTTCTCTCTCTCTCTGTCCTCTCTCTTTCTCTCTCTCTCTGTCCGTCTCTCTTTCTCTCTCTCTCTGTCCGTCTCTCTCTCTCTCTGTCGTTTTCACACACACTCACGTACTCTTTCACGTACACTACAAGTGTACGTACACTACACTACCACGCATGCTGTGAGACCTGTCAGGAGCTAAGATCTTGTTCAGGCTGGAACATCCGGTGACACCCAGCTGGTGAGAGATGGTTGGGGAAAACCTCTGCAGCCAATGGGTAGGTTGGTGATGGATTCTGCCATCCTGTGAGGGAAGATCACCTCATCACTCCCACTACACTTATGGGACTAATGACCTTTACTGTTGACGTACCTGGAATCAATAATCAATTAACTCAAATTACATTCAAGTTCACATGAAGTACATTTAATATAACACAGAATTATGCGAAACTACTAATATTTTGAAAAAAATGTGAACATAGTTTAATATTAATTTATTGATGATGTCTTCCATAAGTAAGTTATATGTTAATAAATCTTTGTACAGTTTTTACGTCTCCGCATTTTACGTTTTCCTGCTTTTTACGTAATTTTTCGTTGGCCCTGTTGAAAAGCCTATATTTATAATGCTATTAATGCTATAATGCTATGCTAATGCATTATAGCATATATTTATAATGCTATGCTAATGCTTATTAATCTTCTAGCAATTTACAACTTGGTATGAAGAGTTCTTCCCGACTTTCACGTAATTTTTTAAATTTATTTAATTTTTTTACTCTCTCGTATACGTACGTTTTATACGAATGCTGAGAAAGTTATGTAATGCTGCGGCAAAAAACGGCAATTTTTCGACAGGAAAACTCGTACTCAGAAAAAGTGGATAAATCCTGTTCCAATGTGTACAAATGTATGGAACGAACTCGCAAAAGTCTCACGTTCTTTCAGATCAATCGAGGAATATCAATTTTGGAGAAACATCGGGAGGCGTTTAGGCGCTCGCACAGACGGCAAACAGACGTTTTCAGTTGGAAAAACAGCAGTCAATCGATTTTGCGATTTCAAGGACCCTAAAATCAGGGATTCAGGCTACATCTTGTGTGAGAGTAATTTACTATTTATAGAAATATGATTTATCCACTTTTTCATTACCAGGTCATGTCAATAATAATTTCCTGACGAAAATCGCCGATTCCGGCGCATACTTTTACTTTCTCTTCTTACGAAGAGCGAGAAAGTGAAAACAGAATAACTATTGCAGTAAATAATGAAAGTACTCGCCTAGTCTATCGTTTTCCAACTTTCCTGTATTTTACACTTTCCTGCATTTACACTTTTTTCATCGGTCCCCAGAAAAGTGTAAAAGAGGGGTTTTACGGTAATTATAATAGTCATGTTACTAGTTTCAGGTTAGATATATTCATCAAGTGGTGTTGTAAATGGACTACTCGCATTAAAACGGAAACCTCCCTAAACCGGACTGATTGTTACGATCTATTCCGGTTCAGACATATTTTACTGTAATCGACTTAAGCATTTTTTCAAATTTTTTTTTAAAATTAATATAGTCTAGAAAAATAATCTTAGAAAAAACAAAACGTGTCTCATATTTTTGCTTTTAGTATTCCTAGAAAAGAAAGCTTAATAATTTGGGGACATGAAGGTCTAATTTTCCTTAAGTTTGTGTGATTTGAGAAGAATGACTATTGAAATACATGCATTAAGGAAATTACTGTCTCTAATAAAAGTATTAAAAGTGGTCAAAAACATTTTTCTCTTGAAGAAACGAGACTAATGATTTTTTCCCTCTATCTCTCCAGGAAATAAAAAACCAGGAAGATGGAATGGAAGGTAATGCTGGAGATGAAATAGACAACTCAGAGCGTTGGAGCAATCAGGATTGTGAAATTGTGCCCCATTGTGTTGCCCTTGTAAAAACAGCCCGGGCTTGCATGAGGCGTATTAAGCGTGCTGTTAATGCCCAAGGACGCTGTTCTACAGAACATGAAATTGCACAACTTGATGATTTAATTTCTTCAGTGTCACGTCTTAGCCCTTCTGTAGATGATTTTGTGTCATCTGCATATCCGCCAATGAATAGAGACGCTGTTAAAAAAACAGTAAGTACCTAAAATAAACAGAAATTTATTTTAAAAACTGTTTGGTTACTAACGTCTTGCATGTATAGCAAGTTAAACTAAAGACCCTACATGTTCAACTGCATTAAACAAGCTGTATACATTTTTCCATTCATAAAATATATAGATTTGATATTGAAAGGTTAATTAATGCAGTGCACATATAAGCATTTGGTCTGGTCATATACATTGGTATCTGGCCATATAATAATATGAGCCTGTAATATTGAGAGCAATTGTTTGAATGATGGCTCAAACATTAATTAATTATTTATTTATAAAAATTGTTGGATAGTACATCCAATAATATATACAAATAAAGAACACAAGTAACATGTACATTGGAATGAGTAAATGCAACGATATGACAAACAAAAATACAAAAAATTAAAAAAGTGGGCCCGTGGAAGTTGGTCGATCCACGTCCGGACAGGGAGATGCAGGGAGGGCTCTCAAGTATTCCTTTCTTTCATCTCTCATTTTTCTTTTATCCCATCGTTCATTCTCGTCCTTTTATAACATTCTCTCTCCCTTCTATTAACTGCCCCCTTCCCCCTATTCTGGACGCGCACTTTTGTTTGCCATGTATGGCGACCCGTGCAGGAGGGAGTCCTGGTCCTGGCGTTTGAGAGGTCTGTTTCCCAACAGCTCCTCTTGTACCACGTTGCAGCTTTGTTCCTAAAAATACGCTGTGTACGGGGATGAATCTGATATCCCCTCTATGGATACCAAACCCACTCCCCTCGCCTTTTTCCGTAAGAGGTTATTAGTTGGCGAAACTGTCGCTTTTTTGCAACGTTTCTGATAGACCGACAAAGCCGTTTTGTTGTCCTGTTGTGAGGGGAAAAACAAGAAGAGCGTCAGTACCATAAAACTGGGCAGAGAGATTGAGAAGATCGACAAGTTTCAGGTGGTGGTTGATAAGAATGGCACAATCCAATTTCAAATGACAACCAAATAAGGAAACTCTCTGAATTAAAGGAAAAGCTGGCCTCCAGGTACAATTGTCCTCCCACCCAACCGTAAGCCTCTGAAAGGGTGTGGTGAACCATGAGAATTTCATCAGAAACGGAAGATCTGAAATCCTTCTCACTGGCCGAAGGTGTTCCTTACATCTACAGGATCCAGCAGGGATTGTGGAAAAGAATAATCTCAAGGTTCTAACTGTTCCTTAGATCCACGGTGTATAAACTGTTCTGGGATCATTTATCGAACTCGAACCGGTGTCCCACTTTGAAGAAAAGGGAAATCCAGAAAATCCGGGTCTCGGAGAAGGTTTCTTTTCCTGAGACCCGACATCATTACCGGATGCTTAAGCCTGTAAATACAGTTCGAAATTTCGCTGTGGCCGTTGTTCAGCCGAAAACGTCAAATTGCCTAAATCTGACACCGAAAGGTTCCTCTGTGCGCGACGTTTGCATGTTAGGTGCCTTTGAAAGACGTCCGCAAAGATGCAGACACCAAATGCGCTGTCCCATTTGGAAAAAAGAAAAGCCAACTATAAGATTTCAATAACTACACCAAGGTGTCAACCTGAGAAGTCATAGCCATAACTCTAGATCCGGACGCATGAATCAGTTTTCTCCCATAGGTCACATACTGTTTTTACTGTTTTGACTGAATAAATCTAAATCTAAAAGTTACATCGAGGATCGGGAATGGATCCCGTCACATGCGACTTTCTAGCAGCAAAGACGACACTGCAGGGGACGCTGAGCCCTCGTGAACTCGTCCATCACACCTCAGGTTGAGGAAAGAGAAGAAATAAGAAACCAAACATAAAATCACTTTAGAAAAAAATAGCACCTAAAAGTCGTGGCTTTGGAATTTCATTGGCTTTCGTACTCGTTTAGGCGAATTGATAACCTCTCGATATACACGCATTGTTATATGACGGCAGGAAACATTTCTTCAATGTCACTTATATTCTCCTGGCACTAGGTTAGGATACTGGTCAGCATTAGTAGTGGCTCCAAGATGGGGGTTGCCACTGTTCCATGTTGTTCGATGTTTCTAATTTCCAAAAATTAGTAGTCCGGAAAACCCACATCTGTAATTCCCTAATCAGCTTCGATTCTTCCACTTGCAAAATCTAGCTTAAAGAAATAACAAGTGACCACACTTCTGGCCATCACTGTGAAAACAGCATAAAAAGAAAACTCAAATTACTAAGTGCCTATTTTTTACTTTCTCGGATACGTTTAATATACTATATAAGTAATAATATAGTATAGAGAAAAATATGTAATGTTGCGCCGAAAACTGCGATTTTTCAACAAAAATTGCCATTGTGGGGCCCTGATACAGAACGTCGGTAAAACATCTTCTAATATGTAGTAAATTACTCCTAACACGTTATGAAGTCAGTTTTTAGAAATTGTAAGACTTTGATACAGGAAATGTATTTTTTACTTCCCCGTATACATACGTGTATACGGAGTAATAATATACGTAGTATAGGAAAACTCGTGTAATGCTCCGCGAAAAAATCGACGGATTTTCGACAGAAAAAAAATCATCCACGAAAAAGTGGATAAATCTAGTTGATAAATAAAGAAAAAAATCCTCTCACACATGGTGTAGCCAGAAACTCTTCTTTGTGGGTCCTGGATACCGAAAATGCAATTGACGGCAAAACGTCTGTGAACACTACTAGCATCTAAACCGCATTTAGGATTTTTTTTTCCAAATTAAAGAAACCCCTATCCATCTGGCTCGAAGCAAAGCTGTGAGATTTTTAAAAACATTGTTTAAAATTTCTTGTAATAAGTGTAATATAAACTTACGAAAGTGGCATAGATTCGGTTTTCCCGGCCAACTCTGATTTTTCGAAAAATTTCAAGAGAATGAAATTTTTTTCGGCGTCTTCCTACAACTACAAACTTGAACATAGAGGATTTTTCTTCAAATTAAATTGGTTGTCCTTAGTGAGTTCTTTCATTAAGATCATGTGCATTTTTTGAAACTTTAGTAGTATGTCCGCAATTTTTGAAATTTTAAAAAATTACAAAAATTTTTTCTCAAAAACGGCTCAATTTTTTAAAAAACTTTTGTAGGGATAGTTCTAATGTACTCGATAAGATGACAAACGTCATATGGCTTATTTTTTTTCAAAAATTACAAAAAGGTAATTTTTTTAACTTCTCCATCGTTAATATTAGCGGCAATTTATTTACATAATATTTATGAGTACATTTGCTTTAATGTCATAAAGTGTCTCGTAAAACAAGTATTTTCTGTGAAAACTATCTCAAAATTCCTCAAACGTAATTTGCTTCAAAAACCAAATTTTCTCTTCATTGAAATTTTTTCTTCAAACATTTCGAACGGATTGTGGTAATTGCACTCTTTAATATGATGTAAAGTTTCTTTTCGGGGTATTTTTTTTAAAATTACAGTAATGTAATTTTTTTGAAAGATCTCTCTCGCACTTAAAATGCACATTTCCAGCAATTTGAAAAACACTATAGTATTTGTGAGTTAAAGTACTTCAAATGAAGTTTTTCGAAAGCTGAAAATTTTCTGTGAAAAAGCTTCAAATTTCGAATTTAAATTAGCGCTTAAGCTTCTTTTTCTTAAAAAAATGAAATTTAGGACGAGGTTTTGCTGTTCTTTATATTCATAAAATAATATTTACGTTATATAATTAGGACACCGAAAAATTTAGAAAATATTTAAAAAACTAACTTAAGGGGGCTGTAGATGGTTTGGACTACAGATGGTAGCTGGTAAGAGTATGTGGGAAGTTCATATAACTAGCACTAATACGGGAAAGTCTGAGCCATTCTGTTGCACCACTAGTTTTATTTTTCAAAACGTCTGTGACCGTCTCTGAACACCACTACCGCCTAGGATTTCTTCAAAACTGGATATTTCCCGGTTGATCAGGCTCGACTCCAAGCTTTGCGATTTGGAAAACAATTTAATTTTTGGGGATACTTTACATGAATACGCTGGAATATTTTCAAAATGTCCTCAAAAATTGCTCCTAATTTTTCCTTTAAATGTTTTGAAAGAATAGAGTAAAATACACTTATAAAAATTACATAGGTCCGTTTTCACTGTTAATTCTAAATTTTCGGAAATTTCAAAAGTTAAAACTTTCGGCTTTGTCTACTACAAAATTGAGGGTAGAATTTTCTTTCATTACGGTCATCGACATTTTTTTGAAAACTCCAGTTTTCACGCAATATTGCGTGAAATGTGCAATATTAAAAAAATAAACTATTTTTTTAAAAATACTCCAATATTTTTAAAAATGTTGGTAGGGATAGTTGTAAGCGTATCTCTGTAAGATACGCTTATTGACATTCGTTCGCCATATTGCTCTAACGTGTTTTAAAAAAATTACAAATGTGTATTTTTTTAGCTTATCACGTCGTTAATATTACATTGGAGAGGGGTTCTTTACATTATTGCATTTATGAGTACATGTGCTTAAATTGTCTGATGAAGGAGCGGATTTTGATCACCTAAAACATCACCAAAATTATCAATAAATGCTAATCTTTTTAAAATGTCCTCAAAACAAAGAAAAATGACGTGAAAATTTGATCAAAACCAGTTCAGCTGAACAACGCAAGGTGTTGGATATGTTACTGATGTAATCGAGGTTCTTTCGTTTATGTGAACTCAGCTTGCAAACTTTTAGTTTGGACCAGGAAGTCTTTGTCTTTAGTTGTGAAATCCGCCGAAGGTGCTGAAGGCATCACAGTAATCTTAGATTACATGCAACTGCTGACATGACAATTCTGAGCGATGAAATTTAATAAGCTACTCAGGAATTCTATGAAGAATGTTGCATCTCATAAAGATTTTTTGAAGCATGTACCATTAAAGAGGATGGAATCGTCAAAAATGTTTTAAAACTGTCGAAAAATGGGTAAGAATGACTTAGTCGAATTCAACAAAAAATGCATAAAATGAATTTCAATACTAAAATGCATTATTCTAACATGAAAACAAATATATATTTTATTAATTTTATAACTTATAAAGTTTCTCGAAAACTCAAAAGTTTTCTGTGAAAATTGCTCAAAATTCCGCATTTTCATAAATGTTTAAACGCCATTTTCTAATAAACCTCATTTTTTCAAACTTTGATGTAATGAAATGCCTGTATAAGATGACGAACAATGCATTTTGCTATGTTCTTTTGGCGTTTGTTTTTTCTTTAAAAATTACGTAAAAGTTTTTTTGAAATATCTCTCACGCCTTTAATATGCACATTTCCAGAAATTTGCGTACATTACTGTATTTGTGAGTGGAAGTGCTTCAAATGACTTCCAATAATGTTTTTTGAAAACTCAAAAGATTACTGTGGAAAAGAGCTTCAAATTTCGCATTTACAGATAAGCATAAACGATGTTTTCTTAAAAACTGCCACAAGGTTTTGAATGAAAATTTACGCATCGGTCGAGGTTTTACTATTTTTTATTATTCTTAAACTAATATTTCGATTGTATCACTAGTGTTATGACCAAAAAACAAACCAATTTCGTAAAATAGTTTTTATTCAGGTTTGCGCAACATACAGAGAATACCATAAACGAGCGTAGTCACAAAAATTGCCAGGAAATATGCCGGGAACTTACCAGAACAACCAAAACTGAAGAGATGCCCAATAACTTCGCCGTGGAGCCAGAAGTGCTTACACTCTCATTCTGCGCCCCTCACTACGAAGGTTGCCTTTCATGTTTCGGGATTTAGCAACCCTGGTGTTGCAATCTGGCAACTGACAGCTGTATCGTAAAGTTGGATGTTTTGAAATTATACGTACTCAGAACGTTGTGACATACGAGCGCTATTTGTGTTGTTTACAGTAACTTAAAAGATACATCTTGGCACAAAAATGGAATTAAATCGTGAACATTTTCGTACGATTATTTTTTACAACTTTCGACGTGGATTAACTCAGCAACAGTGCATCGATGAACTTAATTCAATTTTTGGCGATGAAGCTCCATCAAGGACCAGTGTTTATCGATAGTATGGTGAATTCAATCGTGGTCATACTTCACTCCAAGACGAACTTCGCGAAGGTCGTCCAAAATCAGTTGTTCCGAAAACCATTGATGCTGTGAGTGAACTGATATTGCAAGATCGTCATGTGACGTATCGTGAGATTGAGACAACCTTAGGCATTAGTGGGACCAGCATACATTCAATATTGCATGAACATTTGACTGTCAAAAAATTTGTTCGCATTGGATCCCACACAATTTGTCAATCGCTCAAAAAAAGGCTCGTGTCGATTGGTCGAAAGAAATGATAAAAAAATACGATCGCGGTGCTTCGAAACACGTCTATGACATCGTGACAAGTGATGAATCGTGGATTTACGCGTATGAGCCCGATAGTAAACAGCAGTCGACTGAGCAAAATCCAACAAAAGTTGTTCGCGCACGAAGCCCTTCCAAACAGATGGTCGCCTGTTTTTTTCGAAAAAACTGGACATGTCGCAACCGCACCACTAGAACAACGCAGAACAGTCAATTCTGAGTGGTACACAACGATTTGCCACTGTCTTCCAAGAAATCAGGAAAACCAATCGCCGAAGACTGATCACTCTTCATGACAATGCGAGCTCTCACTCATCGGCTCAAACAACTGCATTTTTGAGCATCCAAAACATCGATTTGAGTCATCCGCCGTATAGTCCTGACTTCTTTTTATTCCCGTACGTACAAAATAAACTGAGTTTTTCGACACCTGAAGAAGCGGTTGCTGCATTCAGAATGCATGTTTTGGAGATACCCCAATCAGAGTGGCAAAAGTGCTTCGACAATTGGTTCAAACGCATGCAAAAGTGTATAGATTTTAATGGGGAATATTTTGAAAAACAATAAAGTGATTTTCGATGACTAATATTTTTGTTCTCTAATCCTGAAATATAAAATGCAACCGTCGTATCACATTCACTAACTCTCTCCGTTGCTCGCACTATTGCCGGGATGGCTTGAACTGCCCTCAACATCCACTGGGCGCCGTTTTATACTCAGTCCGGGCTAAAGGCTCGCCGACTGGCCTGGCCGTAATGGCGATGGCGCGCCCGGTCGCGCCGACGGAAGCATGACAGTTGCGTTGACCCCGACCTCAGCGACCTCTCGTGAGCGGTGCCCGTATTTTCCGGGGCACCGCCGTCTCGATGCTGCGTCCCGGTGGAGGTTCTTATAAAGGGACGCGGGCCACCACTACAATTAGAAAACCGAAAAATTGATAATGTTTAAAATAAATCTCTCAGATTTATATTTCATTCTCTCATATTTCTTCATAAACTTGTTAATAATATCGTCGATTGCGTTCTCAACGTATAGAATTTCGACAAGCCTTCGAGGCATTTTTAGTTTTTTGCTCTGAGAACTTTTTCCCACAGCATCAAACAATTGGGTTTTTAGGACCCTTGAAAATGTGATATATTTAATATAATTTTACTACTTTTCGTTGAAATTTTTTGAGAATAAATAAATAAAAAATGGATTTTGGGTAACAATAGATTGCAGCTGGCAGTTGGGGTGGAAGAGCTTGACCAGACGAAAATATATTATTAAAAGAGATTGTTAAAAAGTACGAAAAATTAATACAAGGAAGTCTGTGCCAACACGTAGTTTATCAAGTGCAAATAATAAGTGTTTAAATTCAGTAATATACTATTTGGGGGGGGGGGGAATTGTTTAATTGTTCTAAAGAATAAAGTACTAGCTCAAAACAGTGTAACTGTTGTACAAAATGGGACAGGTTTGCCAAAGTAAATTTTTATATGTATTTATATATATTTAAAATAATAACGAAATGTTTAAAAACAAAAATAGGCAGCAAAACGTAACTTGAAGAAAAAGTTGTTCTAAAACACTAGTACCATCACACTTTTGGGGACCCACCCTCCTAAATATTGAAGTATTGTTTGAATAGTTTAGCTATTTGAATATTAAATTACTCAATTGTATTGTTTTGTAAATGAATTTGTGTTCATTGTGTTTTAGGCCATGGAAGTTGTGAATTCAGTGCAAGCAATACTTTTGGTAGTGAAGCAAGCTCATTATGTGCAAGATGAAGATCAGTCATGGGTGGATTTCTTGTTGAAGGCCGTGGATCATAATAATAACAAATTACAACCTCTTCTTACTGTGTAACAGAACAGAGGCATGCCATCAGTTGGTAATCTTTATTCAAAGACTATGTAAAAATGTTGAATTAATTATGTATTAGAATTTTGTAAATTCGTAATGCTATAGTTGACAAAATGACTTGTAGCCTGAAAGTTAGAAAAGTAAGTTATTTTCTCAGTAAGTAATTGCGATATTTTTGTTCCCTTAAGAATGGTAACTGTACATCATAATACTAATGTAATTAACAGAACTGAAGGTTATTTTGACAGGGTACTTTTTCTAGATTGATAAATATAGTCACTTGCAATAAGAATGTACTTCAATTCAATAGTTGAGTCTGAGGTGAATGATCTGGGCTCATTTTTCAGTGTTATTGCCTACACTTTGCAAGAAGTATTATCAATAAATTAGATCACATGTGACCAGAGTTTTCAGTTTTGAGAACACAAAGCTTGAAAATGTTTAAAGGTGCAGTTATATGGGCATATAATCTTTTTATATTACACATGGATGAAAGAACTCGAAAAATATTAAATTGAAAAATAACTAGAGAAATGATATTCCTGAAGTTCTTTGGGTTGCCATCGGTCATTAATCACAGTGACCCTTAAGGAAGGAGACATCTCTTCTAATAGATTTAGAAACTTTTCCTCATTCTGTTGAAATTTATCTTTGATCTTAAAAATTATTTCCTTGATTTGTTCTCCAACCAATGTATTTTGGTGTTATATTTGTTCTAAGTTTTCTAACAATTTTCTTCCGAAATTCTGGAATTTTCTGTCAATTTTTCTTCTAAAGATTTGTAAATATCACTCAGTTTTTCTAAAATTTTTAAAATTTTTATTCTATTATTTTAAGTAGATCCGAAACGTTTCTGGTTGTCTGGAAGAGAAAATTCTCTGGATCCTCTCCTGCTGCCTTCATCAAGACATTCTTGTAATATTGCTTTCGTTCCTGTGGTGTCCTGTTCCCAGTCTTCTAACTTCAACTTGGTTACCTCCAGATCTTGTAAAGCTTTTGTGAAACTCATCTTCATTAAGGTTTAATTCACCACACACACTGATTTGACCCCACACCTGACACATTGTAATGTTTCTTGTGAATTAAAACGCAGGCAATATTTTAACAAAGACCTTTTATTTTGTTTCTTAATGATACACGGAAATACTTGATTCATGTACAGATAGGTTGCACAGTCCTTGTGTTCTTCACTTGGTTATTTCTTTACTCACGACACACTTCTCTTGATTATTTATTTACCCTGTTCACTTCTCTTGACTATTTATTTACACTGTTCACTTCTGATTATTTATTTACACTGTTCACTCCTACACTATCGCACAGTCCGATGCACGGTCCACTGCGCTGGCTACAGTTCACAACGCTGAGCACGGTCCTCTGCACTGCTGTTCACCGCAATGCACACTTCACAGCTCAGCTTCCACTTCAGACAGACTACTAGCGGTCGCGGGCAGCGGCGAATTTATACCTGGCGGGTGCCCCCCTGAACCTATCCGGAACTTGCGTCATACTTACGTGACACTCGAGTAACCCAGAACCGTTCAGTTCGGGAGCGCCGGCAGATGATGTAATATACGTTACAATACTATCAATTTGCAGTTTGTGCACTTAATTCTACTTCACTTTAAACGTTCTCAAACTGTAACATACAGGTTAGCGTTTTACTACCTTCTCGATTTCCTCACCTGTCCAATACAAGTAGGCTGCTCGCTGAAGATGGAGAGTGAGCAAGTAAGCCGAGCCGATCGTCTCTTTGTTGGTCGCCTAGTCAGCCGCTGGGCGGTCCGCCAAAGCGCATCGGGTCGCTCCTCAGCCTGGGCACCTCCCTCAACTCGCTTCTCCCATGCCGCATTCACGGCTTCTTAAGCGATTTTACTACTCCGCGTTTTTTCTCCTTTCCACACAGGTTTAGTTAATTTTTGTAGAACGTTCCTTCATGAGCTCAACAGGCTTTCTATAGGTGAGTAACGAGGTAGTAAACGTTTATTATTGAATCGCATCGCAGATTTGCAAACACGTTCGAGCACAGACAAACTTATTAGGCTTTAGCAGTTTTAACTTGTACGTTTGAAATTTGCATAATGCATCCCACCTTTCTGACTCCTAATGGAATAGAAAGCCAGAGAGAATTGAAGTCTGATACCGAACATGTTTTTAGCGTTAAATAACGTTTTATTGAGAAATTCAAATGATCTCTCAGATAGCTCATAAGATCATCTCACGAATAAATCCTATGATCTCCCGAATAACCCATAAGATGAAAATCTCGTTTCTCACTAAATCTGGTTCTCGCGAGACCTCAGTTCTCCCTCGTCTACAGTGCAATGTCACCCCTTTTAATTTTTCAATGTTCTTTTCCTGTGCTATAAACTTACAGGCCATTGGAAAAGTAAGTCGCCATCCCTTCCTGCTCGCAGGCCGTATAATTCTTCCCGCGCGCGTTTACGCCCATGTAGCATGTGTAATTTACCCTAGAGAACAAACTCTCGATGTCAAGTATGCTCGTGTTGGCATATCTGGGGGTCCTTGTCTCCCTGCCTAGCTATTTCATCTCGCCAATTTCACAATATTTGTCCTTTAACGATTTCTTCCACGATAGATCGCGGACCTGCCCAAATCAGACACGTTTAGGGTGGAAAAGTTTTCTTTTTGCTCGTTGTCGACTTTTGTCACTCGCTACGCAGTAGATACATCTGGTCTACGTCTGCTTCGACAGATACTTCGAAGTTAGATGTGTGTCGCATCACAGTATATGATCTGGGGAGCACTTGTCTCCGCCCCTCGCCAGTTTCAAGTGCAGTCCTCAAACGCTTGCTTTCATAAACGATCGCGCTCCGACCCAAATCAGACACGTTTAGGGGAGTTCCCTTTGCTTATTATCGGCTCTTGTCGCGCGCTATGCAATAGAAATGTTTGTTTTCCGACCGTTTTATTGGATATTTTGTTCAAGTTTGATGTGTGTCAAATCACAATACGTCTCACCACCGTAACTTGTAAGTGGTTCACGGTATAGAAATGCAATTTTCGCTCAATTATTTGGAATTATGGGACTAGTAATATACCGTAAAAATAGTTTGAAATGATTTTAGTTTTCGAGAAATTTGTTCTTTGATTTTTTAGATGGAAATTAATGTTTCTCTTTAGAAATGGATATAAAATGGTCATAAAAAGAATAGAATAATGTATCATACGTTAATCTTTCGATGGTACTGTATACTTTTTGACATGTTATTATAAATTAAATATTTCCTGTTGCAACTCTCCCAACTTACCTTCGCAGCGTCGAGACTTACAAGACAAAGGGGAAGACTGAGAGGGATTGACAGATAGAGGTATAACTTCAGCAATCGTGCCACGACGGACACTGGAACACCCATCAATATTAACGATCAGAATGAAATTATTTTCAATTATTCATCAGAATTGAACTTTTTATCTTCAGGTTGAATTTCCAAAGCAAGTCAATTCACCGGCCCTTGCACACACTACTGCGGATAAGCGTAGTTGTCGATGGGTGACGTAAGAGCATAGTGTAAATACAAATTTATGTACATATTTTATTCTATATTTCTATAGTTATCTACGACTTATTTTATTTTTGTAAATTTACAATGAGAAGTTGAATCACAGTAAGTAATAGCAAAATGTCAACTTATCTAAAATCTGATGAAGTATATGGAGATTATAGTGTCTATCTTCAACCCCTCATTCCCTTTCGTATGTTTTAAAATGCCATCTTGTTTTTACAGCAATTAGATATCGAATTTGATTCTATTTTAGTTTGAAAATAACCATTGCATCTTCCTCTCTCGCTCTCTATCTTATCTCCATCTTGCAATTACGCGCGCTGCCCATTCTGTCCTTCTCAACCTCGCCCTATGTCACACGGCAACGCCTAGCCGCAATGAAGCCCGGATGGAGCACAGTTGGAATGGAAATTGAATTAAAATAAAGCGCTAGCGCTAGTGGAGTTCCAATAAAACAAAAACGTGTGTGAAAAATCAAGTAGATGTGCCAACTTTCTGGCAGATCAGTCACACGGAGTCGGCGTTCACCGCTATGGTCCAGGTCGCATCAACAACTAGGTCATTAGCGACGATTATTTGATTTAACGCTATGGTAACTATGAAGATGACATGCCACGGTGATGATAGGGCGTGGAAGGACGAACACATGAACAACCATGCCAGAGGTGGGACTCGAACCCGCGATCCTTCAGTTCGAGATCGCTACGACACTATTGCCTTAACGATCTCGGCCATCCAAGCGACCATTTTACATTCTCGTTCTTACTAAGAAGAAAAAGTATTGTAATCGTGCGCCGGAAAACTGAATTTTCGACACAAAAACTCTTATTGCTGGGCTCTGGTAACGATAAAAAAAAGTGGATAAATAGTTGCTAAATTCGGTTCGGTGATATTTTGTTAGGTTAGGATAGGTGAGGTGAAGTTAGGTTAGATTCCGATAATTTATGTGAGGTAAGGTGATGCGACAGGTGTGAGATGTAATGTGTGAGGGGCGAGATGTGGGGTGTGCGGTGAGGTGATGTGAGAGGCGACGTGAGTTGTGGTACGGTGAGATAACGTGAGGTATGGTGATGTAAAATGACGTGTGGTGAAATTTGGTGGGGTGATATGAGGAAAGGAGATGTTATGTTGGATTACGATTTTTAGGTAAAGTGACGTGATGTGAGGTGAGGTAAGGTAAGGTATGGTGAGGTGCATTCAATTAAGGGCAGGTGAGATAAGTAGTTGACATTAGCTCGTGCTTTAATTGTTTCCGTAGATGGTCAGCTTTATACTATTACAGAACAAGTATTATTAACTACATCTAACCGTGTTACGAGCGCTGCGCAATTTGCTCTTAGTAGTGGTGCTTGCACTTTACTACCTCTGGGCTCGTATTTTATATTTAGTGTTTTCTGACATAGGCAAGTTTGTTTTACTACACCTAGGAGATCTGTCTTCACCATGTATTCACTCAAAAGACTAATCAGCAAAGAGAAGAACAAAATCAGGACGGATGGAAATGTAGAGAGTTTAAAAGATGTAATATAATTTTTGAATAACAGTTAGGTTGGGCGAGGTGAGGTGAGATGAGATGAGGATTGGTTAGGTTAGGCTAGCTGGGATTAGGTGAGGTAAGTGTGAGGTGAGGTTAAGTGACGTGAGAGGCAACGTTAGTTGCGGGGTGCGGTGAGATAAGTTAAGGTGAGGTGATGTAAAATGAGGTGAGGTGAGGTGAGATACAATGTTGTGGGGTGGGATGAAATGAGGTAAGGAGTGTGAGGTGAGGTGATGTTAGATTAGGTTAGATAAGATTAAATGAGGTTAGAATAGTTTAGGTAAAGTTTGTTTAGGTTGGGTTAAATTTGGTAGAGTTGGGTTGAGTTATGTTAGGTTACGTTAGGTTATGTTATGTTATGGTAGGTTTGTTTAGATTAGATTAGGTTAGGTTATGATAGGTAAGGTTAGTTTAGGTGAGGTGAAGTGAGGTGTGGTAAAGTGAGGTGATTTGACAAACATTAAGTAAGATGAAGTTGGGTATGTTAAGTGTGGTTAGGTTAGTGTAGGTTAGGTTAGATTAAGTTAAGGTTAGGTTTTACTTTATTTCGTTGTGCTCAAAAATTTTCTGTAAAAATGACTTAAAAATGACTTATTATTTGATTATTAATTCAACCAGTTGCGAATTTTCCAATAGGAATTGTCATTAATAAAGGGAATTTACTCTTTTTTATATATCTATTTAATAATGACACCGAAAATTGAGAAACTTTTAAAGAAATGTACGCTGGTTAGCAGAAAGATAGCAGTGGGTAAGAGTATTTTGCTAGGCAGACCAAAGAATAGAGAAAATTATTATGGTAAAATCCGTTTCAATCCGTAGCACAATTAATTCTTCTATTATGTTTCTCTTTTCAATTACCTGTTTACGGA